GGGGGGGGGGGGGGGGGGGGGGGGGGTACCTGGGCCTAGATTTAAAGTTAGTCACTTAAAAACCAGCGCTGAAATCCTAAGTTTTCCACAAGAGGGAGTTTTTTTTTCATGGTTCTGCTTGTTGATGACGACATGAAGTATCTCCTGTACAAAAACTTAATTTGACGGGTTTCTATAAACCGCGGATATTTAAAAGTCGTGGGGGTCTGGAGGGCTAATCTCCCCTCGTGAGCACCGGCGTCTCTGGACGACGATGTAGGTTTTGTAATTTCCATAAATCAGTTTTCATTACTGCCTCATGTTTCCTGGAAAACCACAAAATAAGTGGATGATGGCAGCGCAGCTAACTCAAAACCATTTTTCTTCTCTTTTTCATTTTTGGTGCTCGTTCCCTTTAAACCCTCCCCGACACCACCCACCCCTTTTTTTTGGTGCCACTGTTGTTTCCATGTGTACAGTCAGAAAAAAAAAAACCCAGAAATGCTATCACCTCTAACCTGATGCTTTTTGTCCTCGTGACTTGGTTGCTGGATGGCTACTGAGTTTATTAATTTGGTTCTGTATGTTTTTTCTGTGTGATTATGTGTGCATATCAGATGACTAGACTGGCCCCGGCTGTTACACTACACTAGCCTGAGTCAGGCATTGTTTTCCAAGCCACTATCCCCGATCGGGCCAACGCAGCCTTCACGGGGGGAATGTGACCAGGAGAATAGCCCGCTGAACCTTCCAAGATGGACACCTTGTCTCTTTTTTTTAATTTCTTTTTACTTTTTGGTTTGTTTCCTTTCATACTCTCCCATGTTGTCCACTTCTCTCCTTGTCTCTACCCAGAAAACTTACAGTATTGCTTATCTCTTATAGCGTTGTGTTTATATTTGTTATTTTGGTTTGTTGTTTTTGATTATTGTCCAACCCCCCACCCCCCTCTCTCTCTTTCCGCTACAGCTGCAGCTTGTGTGTGATTGAATTCTGTCCAGGTTGCTACAGGCATACCGCTGGTGGGATGTGTATCACACATGGGAATTCTAGGAGGATCACTAACACTTTACTCTCTTGTCACCTACTCTCCGGTTGACATAGTGAGGGGGGCTAGACGCTCTGAAAGTGAGACCCAGTAATGCAAACTTTACCTCTTCAAAAACGTTACACCTGTCAAATTCTACTTGCTAAAAAAAAAAAGAAAAAAGATGATGGATGTTCCCTCACATTTCAGCTCTGATGTGGATGTTTAAAACTGTCACAGACATTCTTCTTCTTTTCAACATTTATTGTTTTTTAAAAGACTTCGTTACACATGAATGAATGCTCTGCGTCGTCGTTCCTTCTTTAAAGGTCACATGATCCTCTTCCCCATGTTCCCCTAGTCCGTCTACAAACCCCCCAAATGATGAGAAAAGTCCATCCTCTCTGTCTTCTGCCTGCTCCACTTATCAGAAAATGTGTGCTCAAGCAGGCCGTTTAGAGATTTTCCCTTCATGACATCACAAAGGGCAGTAGCCCCTCCCCCAGGTGGGTGACACTCCCCCAGCTAGGTGTTTGTTCTGCCCTCTGAGTCTGCCTTCTCACTGTAAACAATAGGACATGGAGAGAGAAAGCACTGAGTACACCCAAGCACCTTCCAGAGAGGGGGCGTGGTCAGACACAGCTCATTTACATATTTAAAGGTACAGACATAGAAACAGCCTGTTCTGAGCAGGGCTGAAATAGAGGGGTTTATAGACATGATCAAATACTGGATCAGAGTGGATTTAGAACAAGAAACTTCACACACATGTTTCGAGGAGCTCTGAGACTTATTTACACTGAAGAAGAGGAGGAGAATATGTGACCTTTAAAGCAGCAGAACTGTTAGATTCATTCTCATGTAGTAATGTTGTAAACGTAGCCGCAATCTCTTCTGGAGATTTCATTTGATCGAAACAAGTCGAAATGAGAAAAATCGTCCTAATTGTTTGTTTTTTTGTAGCTAAGTGTTGGCTAACATTTCCTACAGTTCTTTAAAATTGTTCTTCTTCTCTGTATCTGATGTCCTGTGTGCTATTAGTGACGCAGCCAATGGGGTTGTCTTGTGTTGCACACCTTTCCAACACTGCGAAAACGATCGCGCCCTCCTCCCCCCTCCATCCCCAACCGAAAAGCGCCCATGCTTGATATCGTATGGTTCATGACCAATATGTTCCCAGTACAGGTGACCCATGCATCAAAGTGTTGACTCATTCTCTGCATTGTGTTTTTTTTTTCTCTCTCTCTCTTTCTTTTATTGATCTGATGAAAAGAGACCAAGGAACAAAACAACATTTCTGAAAAGTTAACATTAAATAATTTGAGTTAATCAGAGTTAGGATGCTCGGTCTCGGTGAGTAGACGGTAGAAGTCTTGTAGGTTGTTTTTGGGGAAGTGTATGCTCTCTTTCTCTCTAGAATACTGTGGGCTTATTGTGCAGACATAGAGGAGACAGAGAGACGACGGCTTCTATCGCCTCCGCTAATATCCGCCTCTTGTCCTGCAGGGAAGATACCGGAGGAGGCCAAGGCCTTGTCTCTTTTGGCGCCCGTCGCCCCGGTGCCCAGTCTGATTCCTGGTGGGGGGCTGCTACCGATTCCTACCCCCGCCCCGCTGCAGAATGTGAGTCAGAAACACGCCGCCTGCATGGTTTTTTTTGAGTCTCAATAAGATGGAGTTTAATGGATAACCTGTCTTCTTCACTGTGAGGCGGGAATCAGGTTTTCCTCAGATCCTGATTATTAAACAAGATTACTCAATGATTTCATCTGGATCTCATGCATTTATCAAACTTTAACACTCTGAGCACTTTGAAAAACAAGCAAGGGGTGAAAATATTTACCATAAAATCCGGTTTAGAAGACGCACTTTTCATCCTTTTTTTTTTTATCGCAAAAGTGCACAACATCTTTTTATACCGGTGCAACCAATATACCAGACAAAATCACCCCGAGTGCAGCCCACGACCATCACACACACTGCATGCGGCATGACACGGTTAAAAAAGAATCCTCATTCATTGTGCATCACAAGCTGATTGCACGCTGAGCTGGGAAACACAACAGCTTTACTTTTTTTATTATTATTATTTTTTTTTTTTAAGATTTATTTTTGGGCTTTTTGGACATTTAATGGATAGAGTCGGAAATCAGCCACAGCCTGGATTTGAACCTGGGCCGCCCGCTTGGAGGACTACAGCCTCCATTCATGGGGCGCACACACTAACCACTGAGCCACCAGCGCCCAGCTGCATGACTTTTTTTTAACATCTTTTCTCCGTCATTAGGTAAAAATTAAGCATTTAAAGAAAACTTGGTGTTTTTTTTTTCCTTCGATAGACTTGGCAGAGCTTTGCTTTTGATGGAAAGACTCCTGTAGTTCTTTTACACCTGCAGAAAATTCCCGAAAACCCCTCATTTTGCCGCTGAAACTCAGAGTGAGCTGATGTGAGAACGCAGGAAAATTCAGTTGGAGCCAATGGGAGGGGCAGTGACGAAATTATCTGGATATTTTCAGGCGTTCAAATGTTAAAAATCTCTATATTAAATGTAACGAGTGACCTGCGGAGGCTAAATCACAACAGCCCGACTCTTTGTGCCCGTCATGTGATCTAATTAAAGCTAAATGTCTGTGTGTGTTCTGTTGCTGCAGCTGAACCTTCCTGTAGTGAATCGGCTCTCGGCTGTCCTGGAACCCGCAGCGTCATCCCTCGCTCAGCCCCCGCTCATGGGGAACGTGGACCCCTCAAAGGTCGACGAGATCAGGAGGACCGTGTATGTCGGGAACTTGAACTCGCAGGTAACGGGGATTACATCATGAGGTCGATTATCCAAAAACTGTCCGGTGACTTCACACGACCGGGAATGGCAGAAAAAGAGTCGGGATTTTAAAACTAAAAATCGTTTTTCTCCTCACAGACGACCACGGCGGAGCAGCTGTTGGAGTTCTTCAAGCAGGTGGGAGACGTAAAGTTTGTGCGCATGGCCGGAGACGAGACTCAGCCGACGCGCTTCGCCTTCGTGGAGTTTGTGGATCAGGAGTCCGTGACCCGGGCACTGACCTTCAACGGGGTCATGTTCGGAGACCGGCCCCTGAAGTATGTTTCTCCTTTTATAAAAACTCCTTTCAAAGAGCGAGGAGCGGTAAAAACGAAGAGATGCTGAATGTGTTGTTGTTGTTTTTTTCAGGGTGAATCATTCCAACAACGCCATCGTGAAACCTCCCGAGCTGACGCCGCAGGCCGCCGCTAAGGAGCTGGAGAGTGTGATGAAGCGTGTGAGGGAAGCCCAGTCGACCATCGCTGCTGCCATCGATCCGGGTACGACCATTCAAAACGTGTTTTTTCAGCAATGTAAGAATGAAGTCATGTCTGGGTTCTGATGATGTCACTGCTGCTTTCACTCCAGCCGATTTAGAGAAGCGCTCATCCAGCCGATCCAAACGTCCACGCCGCTCCCGCTCGCGCTCCCGTTCACACTCCAGAACGCACAGGAAAAGGTCCCGATCGAAACACAGGTGCCAGAAATTTAAAACATTTTAAGTCTCTCATGATTCACCTTTTGTTGATGGTGTAACCTTGTGCTTTTGTCTCCTTTGTATTCTGCTCAGTGAATTTCCCCCCCCCCCTCTTATTTCCGTTTGAGCAGACCGCCGCAGAAGGCGTGGCCGAGGAACGACTCCCACAGTTCCAGAGGCGGCCACAAGAGGCGCTCGCGCTCCAAAGACAGGAGACACAGTCGCAGTCGCTCGAGGTAAAAAAAACAAAGATGCATTAAATTGAAAATCTTAACACACGCTCACCGCTCCAGTCGTCTCATCAGCGTTTTAAAGGTGACATATCCTCCTCCTCTTCTTCAGTTTAAATAAGTCTCAGAGCTCCTCAAAACATGTGTGTGAAGTTTCTTGTTCTAAATCCACTCTGATCCTGTATTTGATCATGTCTATAAACCCCTCTATTTCAACCCTGCTCAGAACAGGCTGTTTGTGTGTCTGTACCTTTAAATATGTAAATGAGCTGTGTCTGACCACGCCCCCTCTCTGGAAGGGCTTGGGTGGTCTCGGGTCTTTCTCTCTCCATGTCCTATTGTTTACGGTGAGAAGGCAGACTCAGAGGGCAGAACAAACACCTAGCTGTGGGAGTGTCACCCACCTGGGGGAGGGGCTACTGCCCTTTGTGATGTCATGAAGGGAAAATCTGCAAACGGCCTGTTTGAGCACAGATTTTCTGAAAAGTGGAGCAGGGAAAAGATGGAGAGGATGGACTTTTCTCATCAGAGAGGAACATGTTAGAGGAACATGGTGAAGTGGATTTTAGAGAATATGTGACCTTTTAAAAAAAGTGACTTTTTAACCAGAGAATGGGTTTTCTAGAGTCAGTGTGTGTCATGAATGTGTTAGTAATTATTTTAAACTGTGTTCTCTTCTTCTATCTTTTTTATTGTACCGCTGCAGGGCCCCCCTGGAACAGAGACCTCGGTCTCGGTGGGTCCTCCCTGCTAAAATAAAGGATAAATATTTAAAACAAGGATACAAGATTCATGATGTTTATGTTCACACCAAATGTGGGTACAGGCGTGTGAGAAATGTTTAGTGGGTCGCCTCCTTATACGTTCATATGTCGACATTTACAGAAATATAAAGGGGGCATTTTGGACACTTTTTGGATCTGTAATGTTTTTGTGTCTTTGATCTAATCGCCTCTAAAATGTCTTTATTTGTTTTCATCAGGGGCCACAAGAGGAGGAGCAAAGATCGCTCCAGGAGCCCCCGGAGGAAAGTCAGGTCCCCCTCACCGAAAAGGTAAGTCCATCCCTTCATCGCCACCCTCCACTAAAACTTTATTTAAACAGCTGCTGAGCCTGAAGTTAAAGCTTCACAGAGACCGGCTTTATTTATGAATCCACGCTCGCCTTGGCATCGCCCCCGAGACCGTCAAATATCGTCTTTCTTTGATTTAAGATTTATTTCTCCTTCACCTGCGAGACTTCTCACACTGTTTGTGAATTTGCATACAAAGATTACCTCGTGTGACACTCTGCGTTGCTTTTGGTTGTCATGGCGATGTCTGTGCTACTGCGTCTTGCTCCTACTTACATTGATATGTTTACATGAGTTTATTTTTATTTCTTTATTGATCGGACGGAGAATAGAGGGATCAGAGTGAGGAAAGGAGCCGCAGGTCGGACTCGAACCTGGGCTCGAACAATAGCCTCTGTACAAGGGGTGTGCGACATAACCGCTAGGCCATCGGGCCCCATCTCTCCTACATTTTAACACAAAAAAAAGACAATATTTATTTTTTTATTACAGAAAATAAGAACCAGAGAATCCAAGTCAAAGATATAAAAACAGTAGGGAGACGTTATGGACGGTTTTGTGAATCTCCAGGCGTCCCAACCTCTTTCCCTTGGAGCCCGCCCCCCACTTGGAGCCTAGAAAAACTGAACCCACCCCCCCCCCCCGCCCCCCCCCCCAGGTCCCACATGAAAAAAGAGATACATTGCTTTCAAAAACTAACATCAATGTGATTAGTTTTCATTGAGTCACTGGGGGACCCTGAACCCCAGGTAGCTCTAGAGACTCCTACATCTTACTTCCTTCATAGATTTATAACCATATTTGTGCATCAGTCTTGCTGCTGTTCATTAATTTGTTTGTTTTGCGTCGTCGTCTCTCAGAGGGAAGAAAGAGAAGAGGAGGGAGCGCAGCAGGGACAGGAAGGAACGCTCCACGTCCAGGAAGAGGAGCCGCAAAGACGAGGACAAGATGAAGAGCAAAACCCGAGCAGCGAAGGTACTGAAGCTTGATTCATTTTCATGATTTAATGAGCCGAGCTGAGTCGCACTTTGAGACCGCTCAGGTGAGCTGTAAGATATTTACTGTCTGTCAGCAGAGCAGGGAGCGCCACAGGAAGTGGTTACTTTTTATTGTCCACTGTTTCATCCGTTTGTTGCTCTTGCTCTCCAGCTGGACAGAGGCTACGACCGAGAGGAGAAAGACGACTTTGAAAGCGACGGAGAAGACTCGGTTGGACTCGGCGAGGACACGACGTCGTCACCTTGCCACAAGCACAACGGCAGCTACAAGACTCGCCACGAGGAGCACGCGTAGACAGGCGACTTACTTAGCAGCACCCCGTGGAAACTGATCCAATCAGACGATCACGACTCGCTCCATCAGGTGGATGAACACATGAACACGGGGAGTTTTCCCACCGTCATCATCATCATCATCTTCGGCTCCAGTTGTGCGTCCTGATTTTTACAGAATCCTGGTTAACAACTTATTTTTGATACCCCACCTAAAGGCCCCGTGAGCACTCGGTACAGCACAGATAAACTCCGCCTCCAGTTCAGCTGAAGATTTGTGAGACGATGTGAAACAGCGAGCTCAGAAAGAAGCAGAAAACACGACTCGATCACGACCGTCGTATTGGATAACCTCATATTTAAAAAGCTGATATTGTGTCCTCCTTTAGTATCTATTCTCTCTCTTTAGATACTAACACTGTACTCAAAACCTCGCTCTGCAGCAGTTTGAAACAAGATTTCAGTTTAGCTTTGTGTGTGAGCACATTTATTTACTCCAATTCCCTCCAGAAGCAGCCGGCTAAACACTCCAAGTCTAAAAATCCAGTTTTTTCTGTTGCAGTGATTTGAAGTTTTCAAGTCGTACTGCAATTTTTATGACACTTGCACAAATAAAAAAAAGTCTATATATCGCTAATAACAATATATATGTTATTAAACGTGGAATCTTTACACAATGTCTTTCTAATCTATTAGATTAAGACAGTTTAAAACGTCAAAACACAAAAAGTAACGCAGTATAAAACATTTTCTCATCTTGAGCTGTCGTTCTTGAGTTGCATTCAACAGATACTTGAAAAGTAACGATTGAAGTGTAATCAGGCCACACTTTTGGATTAAAGGAAGAATGTGCAATTTTTTGATCCAGTAGATGTCGCCCTTGAGCTCCAGAATGAAACCAAAACAAACTGCTGTTAGGCCACGCCTCCTACATACTGAAGCCTCCGCTCTCCTCCAGTGACACACCTCCAACCCCCCTCCGCTCTCGTTCACACAAAGGAGTTTAGCGCAAGCAGCAATACAATTGGCTTGAGCTCCAGCTCCAAGTGGCCTACATTGTTTTGTTAGTATGCTAATGTTAGCGCTCTTTAGTTAGCTCGTAGCTAATGATCTAAAAACTCTTACTAACATCCAAATAATCAGTGAGTATGTTCTTCTTCTTCTCTCTAGTTCTTGACTAAAACAGCTTTTATACACAAGGGGAGGAGCCGGCCGTCCCGTCCATGTAAACACGGCTCTGACAACAACACAGCCAGCGGGACTCGAGCTTCTCCCTCATTGTAGACAGTCATGACTCAGAGACACATTTACACAGGACAGACTTTATGATTTATTTATGTCGCACATTCTGACTTTAAGCATCTCCTGCTCATCCCCTCTAATCAGTGGAGAAGATCGTTTTATTCTCAACTCCTTATAAGATAAAGAAAGATAAACATGCCTCTCTATAAATGAGGCTCTCGTAAGGTGTAAAGAACCGCCTTTCCTTTTTATTCTGTTGCTGATGCATTGGTGTTGCTGCAGCTACTTCCCATATTCTGCCGCCCCCCATCAGTTTTAAAACACACAACATATTATCTGCTGATGCCTAAATGCTCACATGACCTTTCTGTGGGTGTAGAGGACGATTTACCCGGTCAGTGAAGTGACCTTTTTTCTTTTGTGCCATTGTTCCTGAAGTCGAGTGGAAGCTGGAGCGCTCTTCATGTCATGACTTCTTGTGCTGTAATTAAGATACTGCAGAATCTTGTTCTACTGTTTTTTTGGGGGGGTTTTTCTGAACCTGTTGCTAAAACATTTTTAGAGAAGACACATCTCTCGTGTGGTCGACGCTTGAACCTGGTTTGACTTCCTGTTTTTTTTTTTGTGTGTGTGTTAAGGTTGTACATTTACTTGACATTTCAGAGCATTATGTTTTTCCTTCATGTTTTTTGTCGTAATGCTGTGAGATAAAATATATATATTAACTGTGTTATGAAACAATGCAGGCCTGAACTGCAGGGCCCGACCGATGTGGGACTTTGACGGACAGATGCCGATATTAGGCATTTAAAAAAAATGTCAGGTACTGATAAATCGGCCGATATCTTTCTTCTATACAAACTTTACTTTCATCCTCTCCTGGTTGGACTAATGCAACTCCCTCTCAGGCATAACCCCGCCCTCGACATCACGTCTACAGTCGGTACTAAATGCAGCAGCTAGGTTGTTGCTAGGCTCCGTCATAATGCCCACATCGCTCTGATTCTTATCTTCCTTCCAGCTCGGTTCAGAATCAATTTCAAAATGATTTTAATACAGCCTGACCGATATGGGATTTTTACGGTACTGATAAATCGGCCGATATCTTTCTTTTGCGCGATCTTCGATCTGTAGACAGAGCTCGGTTCAGCGTCAATTTCAAAATGTTATTATTAGGGCTCGACTGATATCAGCCTTTTAGGGCCGATACCTATAAGTATATTGGGGAGTACCGATATATTGGCCGATATCTTTCCTAGATCTATGTTCGTCCTGTAGAAATAGATTGAAGTATACGCATTTATTGCTTTGTTCCCTCAAATGCAGTTATCAAACACTTGTGGAAAAGATTTATAATGAAGACAAGATGGCCACTCAACTGGAAAGTAAGGGTGATAATACTTGTTGTAATCCATATAGCGCCCTCTGCTGGTGAAAGAGCTGCTATTGTAATACAATGAAACTCAGTTTAAATGCTTTTTGACTGGTGAATCAATCCAGAAATATCGGCGCGTATCAGAGATAAAAATAAGTCGATATCACAGATAGAAACTTGATATGCTAACAGATAAATCGGTCGGGCTCTACGATGCTGTAAATGACGGTTGTGTGCAAAAAATGTCTGACGGCTCACGAAGAAAGAGAGATGTAAATGGAGCTCTGATCGCAGTCTGGACGAGGCTCAGCAGAATTCAAAAAGGTCAAATAACCGCATGGAAGCCCAGAAGGGTCAAAAAGTGCCTAGACTAAGATTGTACAGAATATTCTAATAAAACACGGAGACTTATTTACAGATGCAACCTGGAATTTATTGTCGATAATGTTTAATATTTGAGATGTTATATATCAAAGTATCGTACAGGCTGTCTTGAGTGAGTGATAGAATAAAATGAAACTTGTTGGGACTTATGTGTTTTTTTAATTTTTATTAAACATATTAACAGTTATTTTTGGTGTTGCAGTTTGCAGTAAAGTGATTGTGTTCAAATATTTGTGCAAACTCGCCCCCAGCTCTAGTTCTCATGTTTTTAAAGCTTTACTGAAAGAAAAGAGACTCGAGCTGTTTGCACACATGCACTCCTGAAAATAGTTTGAGGATTTCAGGGCAATCTACCACTGAAATCTTCCCGGAGTTGCTTATTCGCACACGTCCCTCGCCGTGTGAAATTTTCCCTGTCGGACGAGCAGGTTGGAGGGTCTCAGGAGGCAAGACGCTGAAGATGTCAGAGTCCGACTCTATAGAAATATGGGCATGCAGAGAAGAGTGTGAAGTGATCTAAACGTCATCCCTTCAGCCTGCTCACTGTGAATTTGTTCTGAGTATTTCCTTCTGCGCGTGCACCCCGACTTCACTTGAAAAGTCGTCGATTTACAAAAACATTCAGGACATTTTCAGGAGTTTTGTGCATTTGTGAAATCAGCTTTAAATACTTTATGACTTCACCAAATTCCACTTCTATGGCTTTTAGGAAGCTAGTCGTTTGTCTTTCTTGCTTTTTTTTTTTTTTTTTTACTTTCCTGCATTTTTAGTGCTAACAAAGCTTCAATCAGGAAGTGGTGAATCTGTAATAGAAATTAAAACAGCATTTCCAACACAACCGAAAGTATTAAGAATTTTATTTTTTATATCCATGTATCTGCTATGTAAGGTTTCGACTGTAAAAACACTCGTGGTTGAGCTGCTTTTAAGGACTTGGTTTAAAGGTTTGGTGAAGCTGTGTTTGAAGAGCTTGGATGTTTGTTTGTGTTCCTCCTTGAATCTTATCAAAGCTTCTGATATGGTTAAAAAAATACTCAATAAAGAGACTCTTTACAAATATGTCTCATATGTTGTGTCTGTAAAACTTATAGGGATTTCACACTTGCAGAAAACTCCTGAACAGATATTTCCAGGAGGAGCTGCATGTGTGAACGCAAACAGCCACATTTTTCACTCAAACTACCCTGAGTTTCTCCTGACAGACCCTGAGTATTTTTTTCTGCAAAAAGTTCTAGTGAGCTGATGTGAGAATGCAGCAGGATATTCTCCGGAGAATTAACCTCAAGCCAATAGGAGGGGGAGTGACGTTTATATCCTGGGACTGCTGCATGGTACATAGGCCGTTCAACCACGACCACTGCGATCTCTGTGCTCTAATGAACCTGCTGCATTATGTTTCCTGTCCTCCAGTATGTTCTTCTCCACTCTTTAGTTCAGATTGGGATTTAACCGAACCACACATTACAATTATATAAATGCAAATATAGCACCGTCTAGCAGACTCTGTTGCTTTGTCTGCAACGTCCGCGTCTTTTTTTTTTTACGTCACAGCTCACCTAAGGAGACCCCGCCCCCCCCTCCTGTCAAACGGGGATAGTCTCCCGCTGTGAGGAGCATAATGTGAACAACAAGGTCAGGAGAATATCTGGAGCGGTCCTGCTATTATCAAAATATTTGAAGGAGAGTATATGTGAATATATGTTGAGGCATTTATATGTGCCACAACTCTACCTTTTGGCCCGTTTCTAGATTGATCGACAGTTACGTGAATTTCGACTGCAGAAAGCGACCGCCATTGTGGGTGACATTCAGAGCTTTCCAAACACCACTGAGACTTTGTCCATGTTTTATTCCACCTATGGTGCCAACAAGGTTCAGTCAAAAGAATGGGGACGTTGTGCAGGATGTGTTTGGATCTGTCAGTGGTCTACAGTTTTAGTATCGGCTTGGCTTGCTGTAAAACCAACAAGGGGAAAGCAAAACATTACCAGATAGTATCCTCAACTTTTACTAACAGAAAACCAAAAGGGAACAATTCCAACAACTTGAGTTGACTCAACCCGTACAACCCTTCAGGACCTCATTTGGTAGAAAAACAACAGTCAGCGGTTTGAAGGATTCCTTGGTGTTTCTTGACAGTTCATGTTCTGCAGTCCTCTTCCCAAATGTTTTTATAAAATGGTAGACAAACCCTCATTGTGCAAGATGGGACTGGTACTAAACTGCCCCACATAGTCCAACCTTGACATCACCACGGTCAAGTCTTTATCCTCCGTCTCAGTTTCCACGGCTTGAGTAGCAGCAGAATTGGCTGGCGCTGCTTGAAGGGTAACCTGCTGAAACATCGTAATTGTTGTATATCCTGAGGGAAAGGCAAAGGGAGAGCTCTGGAGGTCTGTCCTCGGGACTTCCGAGTTTGTTTCTGTTGTGACATCAGGAAGGTTATCGTCGGTTGCGGTCATGGTGTCACATGGGATCCAATCGCAGGTCATTTCTGATTGGTCTTCCTGGTCCTCCAAGGCGTGTAGAAGCGGTAAAGTTGAAGGCGATGTGGAAGCAGGGATCATTATCTCCTCTCTCTCAACTATCTGGAGAGAGCTTGTTTCCCATTCTTCAACTTTCAGAGGGCTGATGGACGCCAGAAGTTCCTGAAGGAAGTGAAAACACTAAATTCAGTACAATTTAAAAGATTGTCAAAGATGGAAACAGAACATGTTACATCAAAGTCCGCTGTTTGTGCTGCTGTGATTAAAAACGTCATGTAAATTATACTCAGAGTATATTAGCTCGTCTGTTAACATATTCTCTTCCTCAGGTCGGTTTCGGACTACAGTCAACTCAAGGTGCGGGAAGTAATGTGCTGAAGGGGTTTTGGTTTTGAGAGACTG